GGGCGGCCCCCGGCCCGGGGCGGCGGCGGGGCCCCGCGGCGCGCCCCCGGGGCCGGGCCGCCGCCAGCTCGGGGCTCCTGGCGGGGACCGGCGGGTGCAGGGAGACTCTGCGCCACGATGCTTTGTTTTCCTGCCGCAGGGACGCCAGGCGGTCTCTTGCCACCAGACTTAACCCGCCAGCAGCAATAGCCATGGAAGTTGCGGCCGCACAGAGGGAGGGGGAACCGCTCCGCGCGGCGTCTGGTTTGGATGTTTTTTCTCTACACAGACCCCTGCTTTCCTCCTTCTTTGGGTAAGTGGAATCCAGTCTGTAAATAATCAAAGGGGAGAACCGAAGGGGATGGAAGGAGAGTGCAGTCGCACAAAGGGTTAATATGCTAAGTTGTTTTTCTTGGGCGAGGGACCCCCGCCCCCTCCCCCGTCCCGTGCAGTCCAGTGCAAAACAAACGCAGTTTAGGAGGAGTTGGATTTGATTTGAGGCAAGTTGGGGAAGAGAGTGCTGAGATTTATTTACTGATTTATTTTTGGTGATTGATTTATTTATTTGCCACAGACTTGTCTTTCTCTACATTCTGAGAAGGTGGAGGTGAGAGAAAGTGGAGGTGAGAGAAAGCCCCAGAGGCTGGTGGCAGGGGTGGGGGGGGGAGGTACCCAGGGATTCAGTAGAAAGGTGATCCTAAAGGCCAGTGACTAGTGGGAGTCTTTAACCCAGATCAGGAGCCCTAGACCCCCGTTCTACTCCTCAACCCAACAGTGTCCATCTCAAACTTCCCTTCCCTGCCATTAACTGTTCTGCTGATGCCATTCTGGGGGAAGGCCCTTCATTACCCAGGGGCCAAAATAGCTTCTAATGAGGACGTGCAACCTGTCTCCCACACAGGGATGCTCAATAAATGTTTGCAAATTGGCTGAATAACGAAGCATCCAAAGGCTGCATTTTGTGCCCAGGAATTTCCTTGGTAGTGAACTAATTCCCTGAAGTAGACTCCGGAACCCAAGGATAGCCTAATTCGTTTTGCAGAGAAGGAGGGCTGGAGTCTTGGATAATATAATATTTAGATCTTCATTACCCACAAAAAGCCATCTGACAGCTTCAGGGGCAAATTCATGGGTCCAGGGACCAGATGAGCTCACAAGGTTCTGCCATGGAGAGCATGGGCCTTTGGGTCAGGCAAACTTGGCTTTGAATCTCTGTCTTGTGACCTTGGGAATGTTTATCTCTTTGAGCTTTGATCTTCTCATCTGTCAAAAGAGGCCAGTGAGAGCTTCCTCAAAGTGATGTAGGAAAGGTGAAATGGAGAGAAAAATGAGAAGGCGAGGGGGCATTCAATAAATGTCAGTGTTGCTTCCCCATCCTTGGACATTTCAGGAGAGAGTATTTTTCTCTGCTGACACCCCTCTCTGACTCTGATGCAGGTAAAAACATTGCATTGCAGTAACTGGGCTGGAGCCCAACTGCCCATGAACAGTTAAGGGGGAGAGGGCAGAGTGAGGCTCAAAAACCTTTCTTAGAAGCTTAGCAGCAGCTCCCTTTGGGCTTGGGAACAGAACGTACATACATACTGGTGTCTGGGGGAGGGGGACATGGTTGGGAGAAGCAGAAATTCCTTGTTTGTCTCATTTATGTGTCTCAGCCTTCCTCTCCATCTTCTAATAGAGGGAGGCAAAGTGTAGAGACAGAGTCCAGAGAAAGTGGCTCTGAAGCACCTGGGGAACCTGCCCAAAGGGCTGAAGAGTCAGAGTAGCGCCAACAGATTGGTAGAGTTTTGCCTGAACAGGGTCTGCAGAGAACTCCGGGCTCCAGTGGGAGCCTGTAGGGTTCAGCGACAAAGCACTTACCAACCTTTCCCACAGGTCACAATAGACATCTGTGAATCTTGCCCTTGTACTCAGAAACCTGAATAGGACAGTGGCAATGGACGATGAGAAAGACACTGCTGATAAAGGGCTCCCCAAAACTTTTAAGGTGCCCTAGAGTGGCACGCAATTCAGAAAGCACCTGCTAGTTTAGAATTTTAGGACCACAGCTGGCAGGCTTGGGAATGAACTGGGCAGTCACTTTCTCTTCTGTAAGTGAAGGTAGCAGCAATCCAACTTGACCTTATGTCACTAGACAGTAAGCCCATGAAGGCAAGGTCCATGTCTATCTTGTTTTCTGCCATATGACCAGCACCTAGCATGATGATTTCACATAGAAGGGGTTCAACATGTATGTTGAATGAACAGTGGATTTTAGTAACCTTATCTATAAGCCAGAACACGGACTTAAACTACCTCCTAACCAGCTCTGCTGCATGCAATTCATGCCTTGATTTAGCAAGTATTTCTTGAGCATCTATTACAGTGCTAGGCTCTGTTGCTAGGCATCCAAGGGAATTTGTCAGCAACATTCATATTGATACTTGGAGTGGCCGATTCAAGAGCACCTCAGCATCATCTGGGTTTTCTAGAGACTGAGGCCCCACCGCACACCCTTGTGCGGTTTCAGGCAGGGACAGTGAGAATGGGGTTGGCGGGGCGAGGGGTGCTCCAGGTTTAGCCTCTTTTGGGGAACATGGCTGGGATCCCTTCGCACCTGCCCCTGCTGGGTCCCCGGGCTCCCAGGGCCGCCGCTTCCCGGAGTCGCCGGATCTTGGCAACTCCGCTTTCCTGCGCCTCTCTCCAGCCCCCTCTCCAGCCTCCAAGCAGCGTCCCCAGTAGGGCTGCAGGTAGCTGGGGAAGGGACCAGGCTGTGCCTGGGGAGCGAGCTTCCCCGAGCGAGGAGAGCGCAGCCGACGCGGAGCGGTCCCAGAACAAAAGGCTCATGGCTGGCACCGGCCTCCTCGGAGTGCGGTGGGGACGTGGGTTCGGGGCTCAGGCAGGAGAGCCAGGCGCGGGAGGGGACTGGAGAGAAAAAATGAAGTGAGAAAAGAAGGGGAGGGGGCGCGCAGGGTGGGCGCGGTGAGTAGTGGTCACCCCCGAGGCAGAGGTCTGCGGCGGGGCCGCAGCGGCCCTTCCTCCGCCTCCTGCAGCGCCTTCCAGGCAGCCAAGCGTGTCTCCGGCTGCAACTCCACGGAGCGCGCCGCGGCCGCCTCCACGCCGGCCGCCCGAACCAGTAAGTAGCGGCGCGCCCG